CCCCCATGTCTACCGTCTCTGTCAAAACGATATACATTATATGTTTTATCTCATTGGAAAATTTCAAAGCTGCAGGCATGTTTACTAAGCCATGTTTCCGTAAGAAAGATTAGGTCTGCGTTCGTTGAGCTGACAACAGAGTTAAGCTGATCTCGTTTATTCATAACACTTCTTGTGTTAGTAAACGTAACTGAAACAGATGAAAAAAAAGTAACATGTTCGCCACTGCTTCTTGCACGTAGCTATGACGCTTCTGACAGTGTCTGCGAATTAGAAGATGTCGCTGCCTGATTTTTACGTGAACGGGTGGAATAGGCTTGTTCGTTTGAACGTACTCGGTCATGGTCGCCCGAAATAGTTTTGGCACCAGCCAGTCTTTCGCGTGTTTGTTCCCGCAGCCTGTCACCGGCCCTACCTCTTCCGGACTGGGAAGTGCTAGCAAGATGACCTTGTGCATCGTTCACGTCATCAATCCCAGAGCCCGTAAGCTTACACCTTTGACAATTTTCGTCATCCCACACATACACATCCTGATTAATAACCAACTTATCATACTTAAGATATACTTTATTTTCGGGTTTTCTTTTATCTTTACCTGTTGCCCATAACTGTTTCCGGATGTTCTGAATTTTAAGCGAAAAATCTTCTGATACTGAAATTTTCGTTCCCTTAAATTTCCTTGCGTTTTTCTTAGCAGATCCATTTTTTCGTTAAAGTCAAACAAACGCAAAATTACAGGGCGAGTTTTGTTTGGTGTCTTTTTACCCAACCGATGTATACGTTCGAGGCTACTAACCTTAATACCCAGCTTCTCCTCAAATATTCCTGTCAAGACAATCTTCGAGAGAGAATCGGGCGTTTCTGTTTCACGTTCATTGACTCCATATACAATCAAATCATTCCGTCGACTGCGGTTTTCGAGATCATCTATTTTGCTCACTAGCGTTGCAACCTGATGATTTAGATTGTTCACTGCATGCTCACAGTCATCCACTCTTTCTACTGTACGCGAAAAAGACTCCAGCTTTCCTTCTATAGAAGTCAATCCTTTATCTGTTTCCGATATGTGCGAGTCTAATTTTTCTTGAATTAACTTTGGTTCTTTTGAGTTTTTTTTTTGACTTTCAATGATTTGTGCCAGCTGCTCGTTGATAGTTGGACCAGGGTTCATTTCAACATCCCCGCTCAAAAGAAGAATAAGAAAACAAAACGAGTCAAAACAACGCGCTATACAATCACACAACACGCCTGGGAAAGGCAGCACAATGAAACATAAACAATCACTTTTCAATTCCTTAGTAGAAAGCTTTCTACTAACCTGGACGAAAAAAAGCGAAGAAATTGAGCCGTGGCTACATCGTTCGGCTGCTGCCTTGCCCACTGACGAAAAAAGCCTGTGGGGCGTTGCTCGCTGGTCCTGTGGATGTCGATGATGTCGCTTGGGTGTTGCCTCGAAGAGGATAAAGTTCGAAAAACCGAGCGATGCTTTCGTTTTGTACCGCTGAGTCACCATCGTCGAACGTTGTCATCGGTAGTGGTTGGTGGCACTTGACAAAGGAGGAATCACCCGCGCTGCCGACATCTCCGATAGAAACCGGGTTGACGCACTTGACGCAGCAGGAATCATCCGCGCTGCCGACATTACCGAACGAAACCGGGTAGACGCACGAGGCAAGAACCTGGACGAAAAAAGCGAAGAAATGGAGCAGTGGCTGCAACGTTCGGCTGCTGACTTGCCCACTCTTTACGATTAAAATAGTTCATTTTATCAAAAATGTTCAAGTATGAATACTCTAAATTTTGAAATGCGAGTTGCATGCAAATTAATGGTAATATTTTTATTGACGGAAAGGATACAACAGTGTGATGTTTTCGAATGCGAGCAGTTGCACGAAAATGTAGAAAGGTTAATAAATCGGCATCGAAGTGACCATGAATTACTATGTGTAGAAAGATAATATCTCGGGTGAGTGGATAGATGTTGTAAATACAGGCTTTTCGAGTAGGTGGTCTAAGTTATAATAACATCTGTGTAAATACTTATCACATATATTACGAAAAAAAAAACTTCCTTTGCGGTTTCAATTCGCGGCACATCAAAGGCCGTCGAAGAGACTCATGCTACACTAACGAACTCACGTAATGCTCATATAAGGCAGAAAAATAGGAGTACAGTAAAAAAGAAGTCCCTAAAGTCACATGAAAGCCGAAAAAGTAAACCAAGCATTCGTACAAAACAGGCAACGATCTGACGAATATGACCAGGAAAAGAAAACCAGCTGTCAAAAGAAATCGCAAGGTCACGAATCATGGCGACACGTGTGATAGCGAACTGTTGAACCGAAGGGTAAAATAAAATCTCGCGTTCTCCTGATTTTGTCAGTAGTTCGGTTTTGTCTCGATTAAGTATCAAGAAAATTGCTGAACACCCCTCATAAACGCGTTCAATATCTTCTTGTAAGGCACTAGAACGAGAGGACGATTGTATATTTGTAAAAATATTGATGTCTTGAGCAAACTTCAACTGACGTGACAGCTTTGTGCACTACTCAGGATGGTTCACGAAAAGGAGGAATAAAAGAGGCCCTGGTCTAGATCCTAGGGTACACGAGATGTGGGTGTGAAGGTATCAGAATAGATGTTCAATATCCTATCACTACTTTGACGATCAGTCAAAGGCGTTAGGACAAGTAAACGGTGACGCTACTTTGAGGCTGCTTTGACGATAAGTCAAAGAAAAAGTAAAGGATTTCAATGAAAGGGTAAATATGTGACATATTGTCACAATCATCAGTCAATCTATCTTCATCATCATGCTATTGTTGTTTTCTTTTTTTGCCTGATATAATCTGAGAATATTGACCGCTATCACCAGCTGCACTTGCAAGCCCTCTATTGGAGACTCAGAGGCCAATGGTATTAGCTGAACTTTAAAATTTTGTGCTGAAATATACGCAATAAAACAACTAAATATGACTTGTAGTACACTCGCAGCGAATCCCTTCTGACCTACTTCGTGTGACGGTCGAAGCAATGTCGAAGGACTCGAATAATACCTAATATTTTATTACGATTTGCTTTTTGATGCGGCATAACGTGGTGGACTTGCTTTTTTATACTCCAAATACTTCAAGATAGTTAGACAGATAAGCAAAACATTTACGTACGGGCTGAAGCTTCATGAATGGGAACAGTGTTCGCTTTAGAGGGGCATGATATAACTGATGTTGTATGCTCAATCTGGCAGCGAAGGTGTTACCGTTCATTCCGGAAGACCCTATGGGATAGAATAAATACATTTATTTGCCAACTGACTCCTATTCGTGGATACCGGGTTCGATATAACTGATTAGTCTCTTAGTTTTGTCATGCACAAGCTGGCAAGACACGCGCGATCGGGAGCGTATATTCAATTAGGTGAAAAATGCATTTGCAAGCGCTTACGAGGACCGTCATCACGGGAGTCAAATCGATATGTTGATGAGCGACACTCTGAACATGTATCCATGCACCCGCGATGATAGTCGTCAGTAAACACTATAAAGATGGCTCATTACTCATGAGACTTCTATTATGGGCAGCTGTCACCTTCATAATTCCCATGGGACATATAACTCGTTGTTGCTTTTAAGCGGATACTTCAAAATTGTAACCAAAAAGGCTGCATTGTGAAGATAACTCGCGACATCTTGCAGCTGATCTGCAGTATTAAAATTGCGGATTAGCTGCCGAATTAGGCACATAATGTGTTTCAAAAAGCGATTTGCAATTCTGGAACTTAAACATGATCTGTGCAAATTTCTTGAGAAATTTCAAAGAATTTCAGTGCAAACAAACACAAGGTGTGCAAAATTATTTAACACTGAATTGAGAAGGGATCTTTATATTGTACTAAAGAAGATATAGTTATATTATTCCGCATAATATATTGTCAAAGGTAAAAGCTAGTTGGACCAATCGAACTGCGTCAAATGTGCAAGTCGCCGGGGCTTTTTTGTTTGCGATTGGTGCAGCGCCGATAGAACACGTACAGAAACATCACCTACGCCATGATAGCGCGCTTTTGAAGCTGTCTGAATGGTCGCGTCAGCTCGTAGCGTGGGCTGCGTCTGGACTTAAGGTGAAAATAAATATATGTAGATACATAGGGAGCTAAGCAAGAACTTAATGTTCTTCTTATAATATTCTGCTCGCGTTAAAGTATTCCCGCCAGCAGGGCCAACATCATGAACTGCTTCAGTTTGGTGCGTTGTGTTTTCCTAAAGTGAATCATAAATAAAATAAAATTTATTGGTAAGCAACCTTTTGATCATAAAGCGCCACGACGCGACGTGTCATCCCCAAGAGTTGAGAATATAAATATTTAGGGCACCTATGCTCTAACAACAAAGCTGCAAAACAAAAACTCGCCTCCGTTGATCGTTTTTTTAATTTTTTTTCTCAACTAAGAAAAAACTTTGTGCATTGTATAAATTAAATCGACGAAGAGAAAACTTACAGAACATCGCTTTCGGTAACTAGAACGTGCACTCCAGAAGTGCACGTAGCAGGGCGCGTTGAAACACTACAGAATATACAGAAAGAATAAAACACGTAATGGACGAACACAGACACACACAGTTCTTTCAAGTGTGTGTCTGTGTTCGTCCTTTACGTGTTTTATTCTTTCTGTGTATTCTGCACTCCAGAGCCGCACGCTTGTCCTCTCGTCCTTCGTAGGCACCTCCCTGTCCTCCTCGAGCAAAACAAGTTTACTCTCCCTTTCCCACTCCCTCTCGTCTTGCTTTTCGTCTCGCACTCTCCGTTCCTCTCTGTCGCCAGTCTCGCTCCAGCTGCTTGCAAAGACGAAGTTGAAGGCCAAGTTGTATGGAGTTCAATATAACTTCCTCTCCCGTTCGTACAGGCCGCGCAGCGATACCTAAGTTATGAAGCATTTCGTGGTCATATACGCCTTGTGTATATTGCCTTCCTTCAAAAATATTTGAGATAGGGAGGTGTACTTTTTTTAGAGAAAGCAAGGGTCCCGAAGATGGAAAGCTCGCTGCTGACGACATTGGTATGGGCGACGCTCGTTGTTGCAGCAACCGCTGCCTTACTCTGGGTACTGAACCGACGGCATCAACACAATTTGTTCAGAAGGTATGGAATTCCGGGCCCCAAGCCTGATCTCTTCTCCGGCAACTGGATGCAACTCAAGAAAAATCGACTTGAGGTGAAGTAATTTACTTGGAATTTCAACATGCTTCACCGGAACCTTTAGAATATTACGTTTTTTAAGGTTTTAAATTTGGCAACGTAATTCCCTTGAGGAGTCCTGTGGTGGTCCTATTATTGAGACCGGTGGGTACCGATCTTTTAAAGGAGCATGTTAAATGTTTCTAGGTATTAAAGCCTGTGAGATTATCAAACTCAAAAGCTTGTTGAAATACGTACTCCGTACTTATTTTTTTTTACCAGAATAGACAGTTTCAATCTTTGAACACTAAGCTCGACAGACGTTGGGCGGAAGTTAAAAAATTATGTGCTTGCGCGAAATAAATACTTTTCATACAAAAACTTAGCAATGTTATCGGGGAAAAACATATTCTGAGACAATAAATGTGCCGCATATCTTTTAGTCCTACAGGAGCAGTACTGTTCAGGTATCGGTATCTTTGTGACTTCACTAACAATTTAAAATGAAATACATTCTAAATGAATTTGTTTTGTTTCTGTGAGCATGGATATTCATTATCTATACAATATAAAAACGATGCTTGATTAATATCATAACTAATAGATTTTCCTGTTGTATACATTGTTTAACAATTAAGTGTAATTTTCCTAGGAAGGGTGCAAGGCTTGTGGTCCAGTCGACCATTAAAGTTAAGTGTTGAGCTTGATATTCGATTAAAAAGAAGTTGAGATCAATAGGACCAAGGCCGTACCATATTGACTTACAATTTATGTGTTTGTAGCAGATAACGGTTTCTTAGGTGTGGCAGATATAACCATCTTTTCTACAACCTCCCCTTCGAGCTGAATATCCTTGCACCACCGCTGTCGCAGACTCTCCGTGGTGTGAAGGAACTACTTTTATGGAATGCCTCTCCCCCTCGCCTGTGCAGCTGTTTCCATCCTATTATTAACCGCATAATGGCGTCTTCGGGAGGGGTTCCTTCCTGCCACCCACCAGAAGAAAACCACTAGGGGCCTGGCCATACCCATGCGCGTGAAAACCACTGGGGGTCAGGACATAATCACACCCGACCAATAAATATTATGACTGGTCGTACAATATGTCACAAAAGAAGGCCGAGTCCAATCGGGTGCTGGTCAATCACTGCGTTGTTTGCATTAAGGTTTTTTCGTGAACGGCCGTCATCTGATCGGGTTCGGCCGTTTTTTTTTAGCACGCCGTTATGAACAGTCGAACATTTTGCCGCGCATGCATTTGGCCTGACCAAGCCCCCAGTGGCTATTGCCTTATAGGTTACAATGAAAATGTGGACCCTACGAAGACGCCATTTTGTCGTCATAAATATTGCGGAAGAAACTGTCTAGGCGCGGGTGTGAGGCACTCCCAAAAAGCGTTTCCAGCATGGCACGGAGAAGCTGTCGCATGGGTGGTACAAGGGCACTCGGCTCCAGGGAATGTTTGTCGAGAGGGTGAACATATGTACTGACCTATATGGAGCCGGCATATGCAGGAAAAAAATTAATTGTAAATAAATATGATACGCCTCTCGTATATTTATCCGGTTAGCTGTGAATATGATTGAGTTGTTTTGTATTTAATAAGATTTACATCACTGTTTTTTTCAAAGTAGCCCTTTTTACTTTTTACGTCGTCGATTATGATGGATTTGAACATTACATGGTATCTGACTTATAAGCCCAAACATGTTTTTTTTTTTTTTAAAAGTACTCAGATATTTTAGCTCTTATAATGTTGTTGCATTCAAGCATGCAACCAGGGGTTCTTTTTAACAGTACTCCTGCTTTGCGTACGAAACACCTGTCTTTGTGCTTTCGACATTGACTTATACATAGTTTTCTTCTGTTTAAATGCTCAATCACCACACAATGTACTAGCTCAATCGGGGAGGAACTCAGTAGTATTCCAAGAAACCTCAAGCTGAACTGATTTGCGCACTACATAGTAATCCACATGTTTGCAAAATTTACTGGCACTCTAATCAATCCGCCACGCAGGAACCTGATAATGCGACGTTGCTCCACACCAGCCTCTGTTTACCTTTGTTCGATGATTTGCTGTTCATCTGAGTATACTTACGAAGGTGCAGAAATTACCATCCACCAACTCGCGAGCGATCCCAATTAGGCTTTGAACTGGATTTCTCTGAAATAAATTATTAAATGATTTTCACGTTATTGAAAATATGCTGCTGGCTATCACGATGACACTCAGTTTTTTTAGAGATGTAGGTTGTCCAGAGGTTTTTTCTTTTAAGGTAAAAATTCTATGTTCGAAATTAGACACCCACTAAATGAGTACGTATCTAAGTGAAACGTCTACATCCGTTATCTGGTTCTCCAGAATGCCCATTTTCGAGTTTTTAAAAAAACTGTCTATGCTACCTTGATATTCATGTTTAACTAAAGTGAGTCGTACAATTGGAGTACTTAAACACTCTTCTACAATATAGCGTTATAGTAATATTATCAGTAAAATGTGTGCTAAATGCAAATGGAGTGCAAATAAGCGTATGGCCACGTCTATACAGGTCATGGAAAGTTGGATCAAGACATATGGCAAGGTTTTCGGCTACTACGTGGGAGAAGTGCCGTACATGGTAATCACGGACCTGAACATAATCAAGCAGTGCTTGGTAAAGGAGGCAAACATCGCCTTCAACCGGCCTGATTTGGTTGTCAACGTTGAGCCATTCACAAGTTGCCTGATTGGACTCGTCGGCAAGTTCCTCACATATTATGTGCGGTTTGTCATAAGGCGCTAGTAACTGTATGTATTTATTTTTTCAATTGCTGAACGTGTAGCTGTCTGCCTCTATTGTCCTCTATGTCCCTCTTTCGTTTTCGTAAATTATTAAAAAGGCAGACAATCATATATTTATTCACTTAGATATTTGGTTTTACAATAAATTAGTAATTAATTATTTTTTACTTATTCATTTGATTTGAATGAAGCAGACCACGCGGACAATTCAGGAGGAAGAAAGAATAAAAGCATAAGCATATTATAACATGCTTAAAATTGAACCTAAACAATGTGCATTCATAAAAAGTTTGTCGAAGTAGCCTGGCCGTCAAATGTGGTCTAAAAATGTGGTAGAAAGCAAATCATGAGGACGTTATCACATCCAGCAAAACTATCCACGAGTAATGAACTGGGCCAAAACCTTCTCACGATGATTTACCAAATTAGTTTCTTAATGTTAGTTTTTTTTTTTTTTTTTGCATTCTGTGGTGTTGGCCTCCCTTTGCCTTGATGGGCAAAGGGAGGCCAACACCACCTTTGCCTTGATGGGCAAAGGGATGTGCAATTTATGCGTATGAGTCCAGGACTGTGAAGCAAAGCAACAATCTGAAAGTCTTAATAATCCACGCCACCAATATTCATTGAGAATGCAAATGGCTAACAGTAAATATCAAAAACTGAGAACCCTACAGAGTTCTTCAACTGAATGTTATGTATTAGAAAAAAAAAGGTTATGTTAAACAGCCAGAAAACAATTGATTCCAAAGTAGAGATTTCTATTTATTTCATCTGGCGTAGGTAAACTATGTACAAATCCTCGAAGATGAGACGGAAGGCTTGTTGCGGAAATATTCTCAAAGAAATAAAGTGCGGTTTTGTAAAGTAGAGAACACAACGGACACTTACGACGTCTCTGTCCGCTCTCAAATCTCACAGTAGTGGGATTTTGCTGCTTTTTTCGTCAACCGCCACGTTCAATTCCATCCCTTGCTTAGGTGCATTTCAGTGGCTAAAGCTGGGAAGTCCGCGGCGGAAAAAGTTACGCCGCAGACGTCGACTACAGCAAATGCCGGCGACGTCAACTTTATTTTACGGCCGCCTTTTTTTTTTGTCAAAGCCCAGGTGAACATTTTGTTTAGTGCAAAAAACCACAAGGGTAGTTTGAGGAAAGTCTATGCTGTCATTTTGCTAGGATTCAACAAATCTTTATTAACCGGCGCGACATCCATCAACTATGCTTGAGGTCGGTGCAACCTAAAACCAGTTAGAGCTCAATGCTGTGCCTCAAAAATATTGCCCAGGGCACCGTTTGATCTACAAGAATTCGAAGCTTACAGCCAACTAAAACATTTTGCCAGGAACAACTACAAGAACCTAACCTAGAGGCGCATGTATTTGAGTGGAGTAGTCTACCTCTAAACAAGTAAGACTCGATACCGTCTTGGCTTCTATAAAATAACTGAAAGTGTCATCAGAGAAAAAAATTCATGATGGCCTTGTCGTTTGTTCATGTTTTAGGTGATTGGAAGTCAGGAAACAATAAATTTGCCAATCACAATCAGTGGCAGAGCGTCTGAGTCCCGAAAATGCTGAGGGACCGAAACTCAAGAAATTTGACGTTACCAAGATTGGCGCACACACATTGATACCAAACCAAAAAGCAGTTTGGCATATCGCCTATTATGTTCTTTTCGGAGGTCGTGGTATAAATCTCGCTACCAAAGCAATTGCACCATGATGTACCAACCCAAGAACGTAACCAACGAATCACGATCTTGTCCCAATATTTTCTTTACGTTTTCTGAATGAACCATTGGAGTGTTCAACTTCGTGAAAGCTGCGCTTTACCGTGAAGTAGAAAACTGATTGTATTGAGCTTATAAGAAGTTAATATCATATAGTATAGGAAGTTTAGTATGTGAATCAATAGTAATATTTTAAAACGTTCAATTACTGAAGAGCGTGTTGATAAAATCGACTGGCAGGAGAAAGTCAGTACATAAAGCAATTTGCTATTCTATTGCGATTTGCAGACGAAAGCATCATACACCGAGTGTCGTTTTATGAAGAGGGCAGAGGACGCTAAGTCCTGTCTCAGGCTTCAAGGCGCGCGAGGCCATGCAAGCGTCGCCACCTTTTCCTTTTCCTGCCTTGTTGATTTTCAAGCTTTCGCAGCTGGCGAAGTGTTCTCGAAGCGTTTCGGAGTTTTTTCTCCTGTCTGTTCGGTTTTTTTTTGTTCATATTTTTCAAAGATGGATCGCTTGATTGGCGGAACTCGTGGTGCAGGTGTTTGGTAGCCGGCCGACTAGATTTTACCATGCTTCTTTAAATTTTTACAAGCTAAATCAGAGGTGGCCTCAGTCAGAACTCAATTCTGCAGTAACACCTCATTCAACATTTGAAGTCAATTATCAAATGGTGTGAAGCCACCAATAAATTCTCGAGCACATATTATTGACTGCATCATTACCAGCAGCGCCAGGCTTTGGCGGAGGGGAGCTTTCTAGCTCTATCCTTCAAACTTCCTAAGGGCCACCGCCCAAGGTGGGGGATGACGGGTGGTCGTTTCTAAAAAAAGATGACCGGATAGGAAAAGATGGGCATGCTTTTAAGCAGGTTAGTTTTTACTATTTAGCCAATAATATACCCCGCGGTAAACACGTGTGTACAGTGCAGTACGCTTATGTATGCAGTTATTGTTTTATTAAATCATCTTGAGTATTGACTTGGCGGGAATGTGAGATGGAGATAAATGAGGATTACGTAGGATAGCTCATTAGATTTCGTCCAAACTTGTCAAGCGTTTCATATAAAAAAAATTGTGTGGTTGCTGTAGATTTCTGAGCAAAAAAATTCTCATTCAAAAAGATAAAAAAAAACTGATTCACTGAAAAAAAAAAAGAAAACCTAAATCCCAGTTGGTGAGTTGAAACAAAACCTCAATTTGATTTTATCTCAACTTTGGACGTAGTTTTAAGACTATTGGCTAAGAAGAGAGTGATATATTTTCTTACGCGGTAAGGAAAATTACAAATCATCGTTATCAATAAAACGGTAATTTGTAAGTTTCATAGGTATTTTAGCATAAAATAGTGAGTCTACTATCAGGAGCAATTTGACCTCCAATATCGATTACTCCAGCAAATGAACGACCGTTAACGATATGAAACAGGTGTCCGTGCAAAGCAATGCCTGCAAGCTATCTGGTAGTTCAAAACATTGTATTGGGCTAGTTCGTTAACTATAAACTAAAAACTTAAATGCGAAAAAAAAAAATAACGCGAACAAGGAACGGAGACATGCAACGCGGACTGGCGCTAGCGCCAGTGCGTGTTTTATCTCTCTCTTCCTTCTCCGTGTTTTTTGCGCTTTATATCCTCCTGATCCTGTTGTTGCTGTTATCCTCCTGGTGCACCTGTTGCCTTGGTATTGTTTGACAAATAACTTATATTGAGATACAAATATATTACAATTTTAATATTAAGATATATTGGAAATTCATTTTCTTAGAAATGCCATGTTTTATTTCTTACTTATCATTATTATCCAGTAGGATAGGGGAAAAACAAAGGCGATTGATAGAAGAGAGAAAAAAATGCACACAACAGGAGAACAACGTACAACCTGTTTGCGAAGGGACGTTAAGCTGATGCACGAAACTGTCAAGTGGGTCGGCATGAGAGATGCTGGTATGAAGGTTATTTCAATCTCATATCTTTTGGGAAAAAAATGGATATTTCAAGCAGTCAAGGCAAATCTGGAAATTATCTACTGTTCTTGTGTTATAGGCCCTAGTATTGTTTCTAGTGGAAAATCTAATGACGTTGTCTGTATTGATCTGAAGGTCAGTTGGGATGATTTGGAAAGTCGTTTTTAATTTATAATTTTTTGCGCGGTCAGCTAGAGTTGTCGAATCAGTTTGGTTTAATAATACCGACGGTGAGTCATATCGCTCAAATATGTTGAAAATAAATTGTAGAGCCTTCCTTTGAATTATATTCAATATCTCTATATTAACAGCCGTGTAGGGGTCCCAGATGACGTTCGCATATTGCACTGTGGGCCGTATTCATGTTTTATAAACGAGTAATTTAACTTTAGTTAAATTTGAGTGAACGGTTGAAACGCCATAATTTGTTTCTAGCTTTTGCTGTAATTTACGCGATGTCCAAGTCCCAGTAAAGATTGTTTGAAGTGATAACACACAGGTATTTGTATTCGTGAACGTTGTTGAGTGTATGACCATGTAGGCTTTACTGAAACTTGTAGGGAGCTTGAACTTGTTCGTATGGGAGCTAATAGCATAAAACAACTCACTCGTCGGCAAACAATGTGATGTTGGCGTCAACATCTAAAAATGAATCATTAATAAACAGCAGAAACAACAGCGGGCAGACTCTTGAACCATGTGGCACACTGGATGTGACATTGCAGTTTATAAGGTCCAGAAATATTCAATATGTGTTTTACGGTTAATGTTTCTTGTTGTAGTTGCAGACTTGTGCCTATCTCAAATACTCTACTCAAGATACTGTATTTTAAATACTTTTTGAAGTATCTAGGTATCTTACGAATACTTTTGATCGAGAGTATAATACTCTATCTTAATTACATTTTTGAGTATCTTGTACTCATTATCTCAAATACATTTTTGACATTCCGCCATTTTCCGAGTTTTTTGGTATGAAGTGGCGTGGGTGTGGCACGAGCAAACGTGAACATTCTCTCCAGCAACCAAATCTTGGTGCTACTCCGATTCGCCACGATGACTTTGATTGAGCTCGTGAAATTTTGCCGATTGTGATTCATATTTCATATTTCAGCCGAAAGCTCGTACAATGAAGGTTTTCCCCTCGCCTTCTCAAAGGCGCCTTTTGTTTCCTAGAGTTTCCCCCAAAAAATCCTCAAACAAAAGGGGTGGTTTTACGGAAGTAAAGATTGCCACATTGAGGCGCAACGCAGACCGGGAAATGAC